TGCCCAAAACTTCATGTAAGGCTAAGTCTACAAAAAGGAAAGATAAACCCCTGTGCCAAGAACAAAGAGAGCCAACAGAGAAGCAAGTATGTGAACTTACATCGCAGGCTCTCTGGGCTCTTACTGGATCTCCAGGTGACTTTCAATCCATGACTGTATGTGAGGCTTGGATAGACATAAGGTGGAGGGTAGGATTTGCAGCTGCAGTTTCTAAAAGTGAGACTCAAACAACTGCACCACCGCAACAGGGAGGAAGCTGCTCCCCATCTGGAATTGGAATTTTGTCTTTGGGATCACGCTTTAGAACAGTGTCTAAAATTCTCAGGGTGATACAGGAAAACCTGAACTGAGAAAGCTTGAAGGCTGGCCCAATGTTGTTCATATACCCCTGGAGCAAAAGCAGAATTCCTCCAGAACAGCTCTGCCACAGAGGGTTTTACTAAGATGAAACTCTATTAGGGAAGTTCCAGTTAAATACAATTATAAAACATTTGGAAATTAACGCTTATAAGTATGCAATACAAACCATCAAAGCCTGATAGCTTAGTAGCTCTTACTACTTCAAAGAATAGTCATTTGAAAGACTATGTACATGTAAATATGTCCAAGATAATTGGAAATCAACCAAAGGGAGAAAACTCTCCAAGACTTGCAATGGGAAAGAAAGCATTCTCCTCAAATTGTGAGGCAAGAAAGAATGGCCCATTCAGTGACATGCGTTCCACACAAGCACAGAGCCCTGCATTTGGATTCTTAGCACCCACATTTTTAAAACTCAGGCTTGGTGGAACACACTTGTAAAGCCAGCTCTGGAAGCAGACAGGAGGATCCTGGGGCTCACTGCAGGCTCAGTGAGAGACCCTGCCTCAAAAACAACAAGGTGGAGCACAGCGGAGAAAGACTCCTGACTTCAACCCCTGGGCTCTATACACACATGGCCACCTCTATATACATATAACCTCTCACACACACATGCACACAAAAGGTTAAGTATAAGATAACATTAAATAGGTAGAGGAACATTTTGGACATAGGCAAGATGTGTAAAACATTACAAAGAGCCAGGCATAGTAGTGCATACCTTTAATCCCAGAACTTGGGAGTCTGAGGCAGGTGGATCTCTTTGAGTTTGAGGTCAGTCAGTGCAATCTACATAGAGAGCCCTAGGCCAGCCAGACATGCAGAACAAGACCCCGTGTGGAAAGAAGCAGGGTAGGGGTACATGAGGAAGACAGCCGCACATAGAGAATAAAATGAGAGGGCAGGGATATAACTCAGTGACAGGGTGCTTGCTAATATACACGAGGTCGTAATGTCCATTCTAACACTATTCTAAAAGAAACACACACACACACAAATTAAAATATAACAGGCATGTCAGAAACTGACAAAGAATATTTGAAGAAATGTTATTTAAGAATTTTCAATAATTGAATTAGTTATTGTCAGGTTCAGGACTCAGAATTTTCTCAGGAAATCTTTCTGAAGTTTGAAGTAAAAGTTGAAGAAAGAAATCCCTTGGAGATGTACCCAGGCAATCTCATGCATGTGGCCAGGGAGATGGTATAAGTGTGTTAACTGAACCACTATTTGTAAAAGAAAAGAAGCAGACATTAGTTATTCATTCTCCCAAGAAGATGAAGAAGGGGCTAGGATGTGTTTCTTTTATGAAGGGCATTCTGAGGGCAATCTGGAACTCATTAGGATGTATGGTCATGTGGGAATTCTGCTAAATTACTTCTGTGTTTTGAACTATTTCACTGGTAAAATTATTTAAAGCTACTAGACAGCCCCCAAAAGGAAAAAAAAAAATCTTTTAAGTGTGTCGTCTACAAATCAATGTCAAAGAAGACAATGACAGCAGATGAGCCCTGGAGCAGCCACTCTGCCTCAAAACATGTTCCTAGAGTAAGTTAGTGCAGATGATCTAGAAGTACCTCAGAGTCTCATTGGCAGGTAAAGCAAAAGTCAAACACGTTGTAGATTTTTTGGGGGGAGGTTATTTTGTTTTGTTTCTGTTGTTCTCATTCGTGGATAAACACATACACACACATGCATTCGCGCACACACGCACACACAAAAGCTGGAATGCAAAGACAGAATCTTTCTGCCACTAAGTTTTTATGAGTACAGAGATATTACTCTCCATGGATTTCTTTGCACAAACTGTTTCTTCTGAGCAAGAGACATGTTTGCATATCAAGTAGCTTTAGGAGATACAGCAAGTGCATTTCTGTGGAGAGAACTGGAGATGAATCCCCAAAATATGTCCCAGGACACCCAAAACAATGCCCTCTCCTTTTTCTTCTGCAGAAACATTCCAGGGTTAATAGATACCCCGCCCCCTCAGAAGAGAAGCCTGGCAGGTGTTTCAGTGTCCTGGAAAGGCTCCGTTTCTTCATTTCAAGGTTCCTCTCTCCTGGTACAACAGTAAATATGCACAATTAACAAAGAACCCTCACTGTTATTCAGTCATCTGACTGAAAAGTAGGGAATTAACAGGACATTGCTCTGGCTGATACTTTTACTGTGAATGACAATCTATGTCCCTGACATGAGCTCTCCCTCTCTATTCTCTTTCCTCTCCCTCTCTCTCTCATCTCCCCCCTCCCCGTGTGCTCATGAACGTGTGCTGTGTCCACATGTGTGTGTGGATCAACAGCAAGCAATGTAAATTATCAGCTCCTTGGATTTCGTAGAAACTCAAGACAAAAAAAAAAAAAAAATCACAGCAAAACATGATGAAATGATTGGCAGGAAATACTTCAGAAATATTCTTCAGAAGACGTTTCACATCATAAAAACTATGGTTTGGACACTAGAGCACGGCTCGGCCATTGAATACATTTACTGCTCTTCAAAGGACCTTGATTCTGTCCCCAGCACCCATGTAGCCACTGAAACTATCATTGTGGTGCTGTAACTGTCACTGTGGTGTCCCATTCCCAGCACCCACATGGCAGTTGTAACTGTCACTGTGGTGTCCCAGCACAACTGTCTGTAACTCCAGTTCCAGAGCATCTGATGCCCTCTTCTGGCTTTCATGAACACTAGGCACACACATGATACACAGACATACATGCAGGCAAAACATTCATAGATAAAAATAATTCTTGAGCTTATGGTTTTGACAAAATTCAGAGAAGGGTAAGGCAAAACATTAGCTTTCAAAGTACATTTTAGAGAGAATTAAGAATATTCAGCTATTCTCCACTGTTATAAAGATAAGAAACAAGGCTCAGAATACTTCGGAATCCATTGGTTAGCAAACAAAGAACACTTTTTATATTCTTAGATATTAAGTATCACAAGGAAACCTTTTATAAATTCTGTTCCCATGTGATGAGTTTTTAAGAAATGTAAAAGCCTTGACTTAATTATGGACTTCTCCATAATGGGATGTTTGTTCATTCTGGCCATCCAGCATCCACTCTACTTGAGAACTTACTCTTCCCACTCTGCATTCAGGTCATGTGGCCTGCACAGGGCTCCAACCCCAACTCTGGAGATGAAGCAGGGAACCCGTCTTCTTTCCCTGGTCTAAAGGCAAGCACTTGGATGTACACCATCCTCCACCAGTGAACCCAAGGAACACTGGCTCGGCGACTTGATTTTCTGTTGTAATTACTTCAACTTGGAAGGATGGAGACCCCCAAACAGTTAAAAGTCATGCTAGATAGTCTATGAGTAATACTGGTGTAGAAAAAAAAAGAGTGTAGACTTGCAAAGAAAAGGAGGTAGGCCATTGCTTCATTGTCTATGCACGTGCCTGGAATCTTAACTCTGGGCTGTTTGTACAAACTAGCACTCTTCTCTTTTGCTTTAACCCCATTTGAGCATGGTTTTCTCTCCTTTCTGCCAAAGTGTTCAAGCCAGTGCTCCTGGAATTGAGATGCTGGTGGTGAAAGACTCCAACTTTCCTACAGAACAAGTCCAGATGTTTGATTAAAGGATACAGAGTTCTGTGTCATAAAGTTAAAAACAAAGTCAGGCCTGAAAAGTTTTAAAAGTTGCTTCCCTTAACAAGAAATAACAGAACCTCCATGAGGCCATGTGGAAAACATAATTAGAAATAAACATTAATATTACTGAAATATGTCCAAGTAGCACACCAAGGGTTAGTTTGGAAACCACAGTGTTCTGGGAGGGAGGGACAAAACACAACCACTTTGAAAAATCATTATACAATTCCCTTCAGGCTTGACACAAATAGTCAATTTGCATGCTTATGGTTTTTTTTTTCAATTATTTGAAATGGAAAGTTTATACAGCTCAATTAAATAATAAGGTAGGAAAAGTCCACATTATCTCCCCCCCAGATTTAAACTAGAAACTACTCTATATTCATTTCTTACCATTCATATCCAACTTCATCTGTTTCACACGAAGGATCCCAAATTTAATATAGTTTTATTTTTAAATTAAAGAAGTTTTAACGTGTTATTCTTTCACAATTCCGTGCAATATAATGGACTTTGATCATAATCCCCATTTTTCTCTCTTACATCCCCTGCCCCCCACACCTTCTTTTCTTCAACAAATCCCCTCCTACTTTCTTGGCTTTGGGGGAAAGGGGTGACCCACCACCTTAACTGGGTGCTTGTATGAGCATAGATTATATGAGCACAGGCCTGTATTACTCAAAAATAGCTCACCCTCCTGTAGCAGACATTAACTGCCTATAGCCTTATGAACCCTTCCCCGTAGGTGAAGGAGTGTCAACAGGCTCAGCCTTGTATGGGTAGCCACTATTGCTGTGAACTCATGGGCGAGCAGGCATGTCATATCCAGAAGATAGAGTTTCACAGCATTTCTTCCAATCTTCTGTCCTTCAGACCAGCCCCACCCACCCCTTCTGTGATATTCCCTGAGCCTTAAAATGGTGATGTAGAAGTCCCATTTAGGTCTGAGTACTCAACGGTCATTTATTGTCAATACTCTGGTCAGTTACGATTCTTCAGAAAGGCTCTACAGCTCACGGAAACGCAACATTCACTTGCCTGCGTGCTGTACAGGGGTTGACTCGGCGCATTCACCTCCCTCAGCAGCCGGTGAGATATGTTCCTCAGCTCTAAGAGTCTACATGCCAGCTGTGGCTGCAGAAGTTTGGCCACTGATTTGGAAGAGCTGGATATGCTGTTTAATCCTTGAATTAATGTTCCCCGGTTGATCTTGGCTAAAGCTACAGCCATTCTGACCTTAGATGTTTTCTGCACTGGATCTCTTTTCTGAAAAAAAAAAAAAAATAAGCTTCGAAAAGAATCTGACATATGATTTGCTGATACATTATTAGCATCTACTTGTAGCAGAAACTGAGTATACTGCTCTGCTGTACATGATGTTGTAAACGTACTTAGCCCTAAATACGCCCTATACAATTCACTGACCGCCCCCCATTAAAGTTTTTGTACGAACACCTTAATTTTTCCTTAGAATAAATATTGAGAATTGAATTAAACAAAAGATAGAATTGTTCCATTTCCTTCTGGGTATATAGGAGTTTTGTTTGTTTGTTGAAACAGGCTCTCACTATGTCCTCCTATGTCACTCTGATTGACCTTGAATTTTCTATGTAGACCAGATTGGCTTTGAACTCACAGAGATTTACCCATCACCACCTGCCTTGAGTGCTGCGATTGAAGGCATGTGCTGCTATGCCTGGTGGTCTGTGGTAATTTTACATTGATTTCACAGACTGCCTTAAGAAATAAACAAGATTCTTTTACTTCCTTCCTTCCTTCCTTACTTACTTCCATTTTCTTCCTTCCCTCCCTCCTTTCTTCTTTCCTTTTTCCCTAATACTTGGGATTTAACCCAGGATCTGTACATGCCAGGCAAGTGCTTTACCACTGAGCTATGTCTTAGCTCTCTTTTTCCATTTTATTCTTAGGTCTCACTAAGTTGTGCAGGCTGGGTGTGAACTCATTGTGTGCCCCAATCATGCTGCCTCATTCTGGACTACAGTCCTGTACTTCCAGGCTTCACTCTAAATTACAGTAATTCTTATCCAAGTATTACTCAATATATGAACTATTCAAGCAATAGTACTTATTTAAACCGTTATAAATATTTTTAAAAGTTTAAGGGTTTTATTCATGAGTTAGAGTATGTGTAAAGGAAACTAAACCAAATATCCTATATGCCAGTCGGTAATCTTAAAAACAACTCTATCTCAAAACTTCAGAAATTCTAGTAATTTCTATCAAAACTATAGCATTATCAAAACATTTAACATGTGGTTTCTTCTCAGCAGTTTACCACAAAGAAAGTGCATAGAGTGGTTAAACTGTACTACAGTCAACAGGCAGGCACAGTTAGTGTCATCATTAATTTAAACAATTTGGGGATCATCTGGCCATCCTTAGGAAAAAATATTAGTTAGCCATTGGCTATAGATAAGCAGCATTTGACTCTGTAATATTTTATTAAACCTAAATATATACATACAAAATATCTGTTAAATTTGTTCTTTTGTCTTCAGTGAACATCATGTGTTTACTTAAAAGCTAACATTTTTTTATATTTACTTTAAAAATACATGTACATCACCAGGTTTTAGTGTTTTTCTTGCTGCTGACAACCAGAAGCTGTTCTAGCCCACTGGTGAGGATTAATTTTTAGTGTTTGGTGTTCTGGTGTGGTTTGTTCTATTAACTTTTCTGAAAGGTCCAGTAGCCAGGGGTGGTCTCGGCCTCCCAGACAGTAGCAACAATAGATAATGCTATCTAGACTGCTAAACTGATAACCTAAACTGCAATCTAAAAACAACGCCATCAAACCAGCACACAGTTATAGTCACTTGATGTCATTTTCTTCCCTGGGTGTGGTTGAAGAAGCTAGGAGCAGCCACGCTGCCTGTAGTACTGAAGCCCCAGTTGCTACATTTCTCTCGTTCTCTTGTGACTATGCTACGCTGACCCTTCCAAGCTCTTCCTCCGTGTGGAACTGGCACTGGTTTGCTTTTACTTGTGATTGAAATTTAGCTACAATCTTCCCCCCCTCACTGTAATTATTATTAAGAGTAGTCAGCCACATTGCCAGAACAAACTGGCATGGGACATGTGAAGTTCCAACTTGAAAACTATCTCCTTGTTTGAGTCTTCAGTGTTTGGGGAATCTACCATGTTGGCGGTTGTGAAATGTTAACCTTCTGCAGATTTCTTATTTTCTAAATGAATTTATAGGATCCTTTACTTTCTTCTGATTGTTCTGAGGCACAGTCTTGCTGTCTAAGCCAAACTGGCCACAAATTCCAAATGGTCTCAAAGTCCAGACTCTCCTTCCTTCCTCAGCCTCCCCAGTGCTAGGATTATGGGCGCACACCATCAGGCTTCAAGTTCTTCACCAGGCCATGGCTTGCAGTCACTAGTTATCTCTACCTGCGTCTGTTCATTCCACCAGACAGACCAACCCATCCAGCCCCTCTTCTACATTTTCTTTCTGCTTTTTTTGTCTTTTAATAAAAATATGGTTAATTATCATTGATAATTTGGTCATCTCATGTCGGGTTCAGATAATTTAGGTTGATGAAAACATGTTTGTTGGAAACAATATTATTTCATGTAAGCCTGCATTGCAATGCAAGCATATTTAGCTGGCATCAAGACATCCTGACTGTCTCTCTGTTCACCTGTGTCTTCATGACTGTGGTCTTTGTTTCCCTCTAATGCTTAGTTGTTACAATTTGATCATGAGCGCCCTGCATGCCTTTGAAAATGCTTTCTTTAAAATAAAACAAAGCAGAAACAAACAAAAACTTCTGCAAATAATCTTCAAGCACACATTACTTCCGATCATGCAATGCTCCTGACCACTTTTATCTTGCCTCCCACAAACCATGGAACTGGCTCTTTCCCAAGAAGGCATGCTTCCTGCCTGCCAGGAGCTGATGGAAGACAGCAAACCAAGGTGGTGGGTGGGTGGGTGGGTGTGTGTGTGTGTGTGTGTGTGTGTGTGTGTGTGTGTGTGTGTGTTTCTCTCCTGCACTCTGTGAACAAGCTGCCAGGAGGAGCCTACATTCCTCAGGTAGACTGAGATGTTTGTGATGATTTCAAAGCACTATTACTTTCAGTAAGTTTCTTAACTATTCTAATAGGAAAACAATTGAAAGGTTTTTCATTCTCGACTGCCAGGGTTTTTTCTCCTTTTTTCTACTGCCTGTGCTATGTGTCTGTTTGTTGTTTCAATCAAATCGTGTGTGGGGGCGGGAGTTTCAATGGTGACCCCAAATGAAGCTCTCTTCATGCTTTTCTGCTGGTTTTCTCTTTGACTCTTGGCCCTAAGCATCTGGTTGCCAGGGGAACATGGATGCCCCTTTGTGCACTGCTCATCATCATCTGCACAGTTGAGGCAAAGAATTAAAAGTCCTACCCAAGCACCCAGAGCTGCAAAGGTCGCTTACCAAAGGAAACTTTGCTTTTTGTCAGTAAAATGGGTTCTGGAACCCTGCTCCATATTTGCCGTTTGAATACATATTCCCCTCCCCGCTTGAGTCCTTCCCATTTCTGTTGTCAGCAGTTTTAATGAAGAATTTGCAATTCTGTTACCACAGCACTTACTATCCTCCACCGATAAAACCAGCCTGCCAGTAAGCCTACTCAATTCTTCCTTTGAATAGTCCCAGAATGTCACCCCTCACCCCTACTCTATTGTACTAAGATATACCATCTCTTCTCTAGGTTAGTGGATTAGCCACTTACACAGTTCCCTTCTCCCAATTTTGCTTATTTTCACTATTTCAACAGCAAATAAACCAGAAATATCCAGCTAAGACCTGAAAGATGACATCTTACATTGGCTCAGTTGATGCTGAACTCTGTCTGGAAGCAAAGTACATACAAGCCCTGTGAAGACTGGCTCTACCTTCCGACCTTACCATCTTCTCTTCCTTGTTTTCTCAATACTTAGGGAATTGAATCAAGACTGTTTTGTGAAAGGTGAAATTCTGTCAAATCCAGACAAAACCAGAGCTAGGAGGTTGTGGGGGGTCAGGAGGTTGTGGGGGGTTAGGAGGTTGTGGGGGGTTAGGAGGTTGTGGGGGGTTAGGAGGTTGTGGGGGGTTAGGAGGTTGTGGGGGGTTAGGAGGTTGTGGGGGTTAGGAGGTTGTGGGGGGTTAGGAGGTTGTGGGGGGTTAGGAGGTTGTGGGGGGTTAGGAGGTTGTGGGGGGTGGATAAGTACTGAGGTACAGGGAGTGGGGGTGGGGTTGGTAAGTACTTTTTTTTTTTCCCTTTGGAGAAAAGTAGTTTTACTTAAACTTACACTTCTAGGTTATAGTAGGCCAAACACTGTGGTAAGGACAAGCTAGGAACTTCAGTTAGTCATCTCATATCCATAATTGAGAACAGAGAGAAATGAACACATATATTCTTGCTTGCTGTGCACAACCCAATTTTTCTGATTCACATAGTTCAAGACTTACTGCCTAGGGAATGGTGCTGTCTGTAGTGGGGAAGATGTTGACCTGTCAATTAATTTAATTAAGACAATCCCCTACAGGCATGCCTACATGCCTAGACTTAAGGCATGTTTTTAGTGGGAAGCAGGTTAGAATCCCAGTGTTCATCTGCTTTCGTCCCCTTGAGGTGGTACCTAAGTGCTTCACTCACAGATTGTACTTTCTAAGCCTCCTGGAAGGATAGAAGTCAGTGGGAGGCAGATTCTGTGTCCTTAGTGGCAGAAGAGGCTAAAATCCTTCCTCTCTACAATAGCTAGTTTCAGTTGTCAACTTGACACAAGTTAGAATCAAGTCTCAGTAAGGGATTATCTACACTGGGTAAGTACTTTCTTATGAGGGTTCTTCTCATTCTATACACAGCCTATGCTTTGTACATCTCATACATGAATGGGTTTGTGTAACTGAGTCAGCAAAGGGAATGGCTAGAAAACAGCAGTGGATTTCCAAATGGGCCAGAGCCATCGTTGTCCTCGTCCCTAAGTGGCCCAAGACTCTCGGAAGTAAATAAATTCAAGGTGTTGGGAACAGGATAGAGCTCTCTTTAGGAAGGAGGCAGCCATCTACCTGAATGCAAATCATGGTTTTAAAATCTGTGATAATGCCACCAGAAGACAGAGCAAGGTGGAAGGCATATAAAAAAAATTACAGTTTTTTTTTTTAATCTCAATGTCTTATATTTTGGCAATGGAGGAAGCCCATTTTGGAAAAGAAAGAGGGTATTTCTGGCATGTCTCTTGCCTCTAGGATTCCCCTTGAGGTTTTTTCAATAATTATTGCACTACCATCCACTTTAAGCACTTAGATGCTAGATCCACTGGACACTGTCCATCTCTACTCTTAGAACTCCCGAGTATGGCCAAGAAAAGTTCCCAGAATTTCAAAATATTTTGTGCCAAGTCCAGGAGGAATGCAAAGAGGGGAGGTATTTGGACTCCGCATGGAAGGTCTGGAATTCTGGCATTTGGCCTTCCCTCTGGGGTTTTCAAGGCTTAGTCTGTCCTGTTCAGCTGAACAAACTGTGTGCTGGCCAACTGCTCATCTGGGACCCCACACTTCACATCACCCTCCTTCCAAGTCTAGACCCCAACAGAGAGGGCTTATTTTCTTTTAAGTCTACAGTCAGAATAAGAAGCTAAGTAGCTTTCAATTTACAGCTCAACTACATGGATTGAACACAATGTGTTACTTTCCTTGAATCAAGACTACTAACATAATTTTATTATATCCTATCTCTCTTCATGTTGTCCACAGAGTCCCCTATCTACTTAAAAGCCATTATTCTTCCAACCATTCCTTAACCTCTGCATAGCCTTGTCATCCCACATTATCAGTTTTATGATTCCCTGAATACTACACTCATTCTTTATATCCCCAGTGCTCTTGGCAACCGTTTGTAACAGAATCTTACTGGAAATTCTGCCTCTCTTAAGAAAACATCTCTAGATAAATACCTTTTTTCTCCTTTGTGTATGTGATATATGCACATACAGCTGTGTTCACGGGCATAAACATCTTCTCTTCAGAATTCCCTCTATCCCTCTGCCTCGAAGTCCAATACTTTATCTCCTTCAAATCTTTTATGAAACAGAGGCTTTAGAAACACAGTGCATGTGTACTTTGTTTACGTGGTAGACATCAGTAGTTTCTCTCCACAGTATAACACTATCTTTTCAGGGCTAGTTTATCTCAGTTAAGTGTGTGTAATCTCTTAATTGCCTTATATTTTACTTATGCATTTCTATCGACTTTTCTAATTTTACATTAAGCAAATCTTAAAGAAACTACATAGTCAGTCTTCTATGAAAGACTTTCAGACTTTCGATCTAATCTTAATTGACCTATCTCAGTCACTTCTTTGTCTATCTCTCTGCTGCCCAAGGACTCCTCCCAGTAAATAAAATTGGAAATTGTTTTTTCTGAGGAAAAATTATATTTTCTTAAGCTTCACTTACTGATATCAGCATTAATGATTTACATGATACAAAAAATTACATATTTTGTCTTCCTACTGAAGCTTATGAATCTCATTACCTGGTTAGACTGTGATAATCTTAGGATGCCAGGGAGTTCATCTTTAAACTCATCTATAAGGTCCATCATTGCCTTCTGGAGTCCCTCAACTGAGAAAAGGAATGTTAGGAAAAATAGCCTGTGACATTCACAGAAGTGTGGGACACTGGCCCACCTCTGGGGTAACTGGGAACATAGGGACTCCAATAACATTTGTCCCCCGTTGTTCCCATGCCCATATCCCAATTTACAGTAAGATTAGTCTAGTCATACGTCTTCCAGAGAAGTTCTTCAGCACCTGCCCACAAATCCAGCCGATAGGCCTGACTTCCATGGTTCCTGAGAGTTTATCAAGTCCCAGGCCTGGATAAGGATCCTTCTAGTCAGGACTGTAGGCAAGGACAGAACCTGACCCTCACTGCTGGAGTTCTTTGTTACTACACAATGGGGCCTTTGAGAACTTGTTATAGAACCTTCAGAAATAACCATGGAGGTGGGAGGAAGAAGAATGTGTTTGGAGGCAAGAGGAGAGGAGGGAGGAGCTTGAAAATGGAATCACACCAGGAACTCCCATAATACAAAATGAGTTTGTCCTAAACTCTATAATGAGACTTGAATTGATGGATCACCTGAGAACAAAGCTCTCTTTGAAGGCAGTTGGAATATAGTTTAAAAGAAATACTTTAGATAGAATCAAACACACACACACATACACACACACACACACACACACACACACACACTCACTCATGGATGCACACACCCACCCACCCACACCCACACACACACAAATGCACACACATGCACACGAAGGCATGCACACTAGAGCACACACACACATACATACACACAGGCACACATATACATGCACACATGCACAAACTCACGTACGAACACATGTACACATGCACACACAGCCATTAATTTGGAAAGTCGTCTGAATACATTCATCTTTACCCAAATGATGAGATCAATAGGTCATATCAGGCAAAACTTTGTCTTCATTAGATTTTGCACACCTAGGAAATCATTGCCCCTCACTCACCATACAAAGGAAGAACTAAATAACAGGTCAATTTGATTGTTAGTGCGGATGAGTTAAAAATCAGTCTTGTTTTACTTAATAGTAGCTTGATGGTTGTCCTCAAAGAACTTGAGGCTGTGGCCAACGGAAGCTTGTTTATAGAAACTGTGGAAGAGCTCATTGGAAGATCCCTGCTATCATACTTTTCTCAGCCCTTAACCCACTACACATGCCCACTTCTAGCCAAATAGCATCCTCTTTCCTCCCTCATGGCCTTAATTCGTAAGTATGTGTTCACATTTGAAAAGTGCATTGCATTACCAGAAGGAAAACTGTAGTGAGATATCTACTCCATCTGCATGACCACACCCATTGGGGCTTAGGGACAGGTGGGGTCTAGGTCTGGGGTCCTGGATCCCAGCTCGCTCTCTTACTTCCTGGTTGGAGACAGAGAGTATCCGGGAGCATCCTTGGAGCGGGAACCCACAGCAGTCATCTGTTTCTGGTATAAGTGATTTCTCCCTGAATAAACATTAATCAGCATATATTGTGTCCCAGAATCTTATTTTCCCACACAATATTCTGGTGTCAGAGTGGAATAAAGGATTCTCATGGGACCTGGGGAATTGGGTTTCACCCAGGGTGGGGCATCTTCGCTGCTCTCCCCTCCTCCCCAGCTATTCTGGAATCGATTGCAGTTTCCCTATTTCCTGTCCGCTCCCGGGAAGGGGGGAAGGGTTCCTGGATAGCTCACTACAATTCCCCTTTTAGTCTAAAGAGAAGATTTAGGCTTGATACAAAACTATATACAAAGACAGTAAATATCAAGTGTGCTCTAGAAGAAGGAAAAGTAAGAACATACACACATAAGACCTGTTGCCAGTGAGGTAACAAGAACAATTGGCAAGAACTACAGGAAACCTTACTCACTGATGACTAACAGTGTAATCCGGGAGTCAGAGTGAGATGCTTTCTTTGCCCAGTCTGGACACTTGGCTGCCAGAGTCTTCCTCCGAGGAGCACCCAGCAGCCTACCTTGTCTCTGATGTCCCTAGTGTTCTGCTCACTCCCAGCAGCTGCCTTCACTTGTATTTCCTAAGATCACAGTTGGTTTGTGGAAGTTTCTTCTCATCAGAACACTTCCCCAGGCATCCCAGAGAATTAACTCACCAAAACCAAAAACATTTCTCATGCATTTATCACATTTAAACCTAGGACAAATGGTAACCGAAATGATCTCCACCGTATTTAGTTTCCGTCTATGACCCTCCAGGCCTTGGTTTTGGTGTTGTTGTTGGATTTTTTTTTTGTTTTGTTTTTTTGTTTTTTGGTTGTTGTTTTGTTTTTCCTGGAAATCAATGTTGAGCTTAGTTGAGCTTTCTCTGCTTTCATTCATCATCAGTGGATGTGATCACTTTCTTCCTCAACTTGCTAGTCTTAAAAGAGAAACTGTCCTGGCCTACCTAGTACTGACACTTTTTTCATGAATGGTCCTTCGACACCCTGCTCCACTTTATTGGGTAAGGTGTGACTTAAACATTTCACAAATGTGTCTGCATCTACGTTGGTCCACGGCTGTCTCATTATTTAACAGAATAGTGCCACGTTTTGTGAATACAAATTCCCGTGTCTCGTATTTTGCAGTAGTGTCTGGAACAATAACACTGAACTATTTAGAACTGCTTTAACTTCTCTGTTTTCTTTATATTTCCATTAAAATTCAGTTTCCAGCTTTTGCATTCATACATGGCAATATGTGTTTACATTTTCTTGGGTAGTTTTGTTGATTTTTATTTCTCTAGGAACTCCTCTACTGCAAGGGTTTTAAGTATGTTGCCATGGGGCTCCATAGAACTATATCAGGCTTTTCTGTTATTTTTATCTTCAATATTTGTCTTCTTCTTTTTTTCTTGAATAAAGTCATCTTACTCTTAGCTTTTTCTTCAAAGGGAAATCCCTATGAATTTTTGAAAAAAGAGTTCTTTTCAAAATTTCCTCTGATTCTGTTTGTTCCTAGGGTTATTATAACTGTTCCATGATTTCCAAGTAATTACATTTGAGATCTTGTTTTTGATTGGAATTTAGATCAGAGAATATGGCCTATAAAATCTCTACTTCCCAGACTTTAAGGGTTCTTTCTGAAAAACTACATGCATAGTTTTCATGAATATCTGAGTTATACAAAGGGATGTATAGTCTCTAATCAAAGAACAAAATGAATAATAACAAACTGATCGATTACTTAATTTTTATAGTCCACCGATTTTCCCCCACAAGATCTATTATCACTGAATTAAAAAATGTTAAGAAAATCCACAAATTTTACTTTTATACCTTTCCTTAACTTTTCCCTTGCTTTTTTATTTTTCTGATTTTAAGTTAACAAAAGTATGAATCTTAGAGGTTCTCTTGTACTCACAGTGAGAACAAAGAAGACACTGTCATCAAAGCAGATGAAAACATGAGGTTGTGTCTGCCAATTTTCATGTCAATATCTGACCCATGTCTATCACTAGGATCCTGAATAAAACCTGCCTTCCTGTGCTTCAGCAAGTATCAGTGCAAATACCAGAAGGGCTTCACTTAAATCGTGTGGCTTAAACTGAGCATGTGCCAGCTACCATCACTGTTTTCAGAACTGGGGGAGGGGAGGAGGAGTTGAAAGAGAGATCCTTGTACCAAGGGAACTCACATTCCATTAGAAATAGAAACAAGGCATTTCTGTTTCCTAAGAACCTAGGAAAATGATTCCTTTCATTAATGGCTTGCTCATATTTTGAGATGAATGTTTCATTTCTTGCTTGCCAGAAGCTGTAAAGGTGAACTGCATATGTTATAAAACAATTCTCTGATTTAAAACGAGAGTCATGGGGTGGAATGAGAGCTTAGCAGTTAAGAGCACTAGTTGCTTTACAAGGGGTTTGGGTTTGAATCCTAGCACTCATGTGGTGGCTCAGAGTCATTCAGAATTCCAATTGCAGGAGACCCAAGACCTTCTTCTGGACTCCAAGGGCACCAGAACACAGGACACATTTAAATACATGCAATCAAAACATCCCACACCAATATTTTTTAAGGTTCTTACATAGAACAAAGGATTATCAGCCTACAATCCACACCACCAGGAAAGCTAGGAAACAAGGAGGACCCTCAGAGAGATATACATGGTCCCCTGGGGAGGGGGAAAGGGACAAGATCTCCCAAGCAAATTGGTAGTATGGGGGGGGTGTTACTAAGAAGAGGAAGGCAGAGGTGGGTTTGATGGAGCAGGAAGGCCTCACCCTCCCTGGGGAGCAGAAAGGGGATGGGATGGAGGTTGGTGGGGGGGAAGAAGGGAGGGGGGAGGGTTCAGGAACTGGGATTGATAAGCAAAACAAGCTTGTTTCTAATTTAAATAAATTGTTCCCACTGCTATCAATTTTTTCAATAATTTAATACTGAACAATTTCTTTGTTTTGTTTTAGATTATGATACAGTTGCAATATTTCTTCCTCCCCCTTCCTCCCTTCTAACCGTCCTACATACCCTGCCCCTCTCTCCTTCAAATTAATGACCTCTTTTTCCACTAATTGTTCTTGCATGTATATGTATGCATGCACGCATGTGTTCACACACACACACACACAAGCGTGTGCTAATATATTCTTAAACACAACTTGCTCACTCTGTGTAATGTTTGTTGTATGTATGTTTTGAGGACTGACCACTTGGCACAGGACAACTAATTGGTGTGCTCTTCCCTGGAGAAGACTAGCTCTCCCGCCCTTAGCTTTCCTCATTCAACCACCGTGCTTTGTGCAGGGTCGAGGCATGATGAGCTTTTCCACATCCACATGGTCACGTCCATTTCTGTCACTGTTGTTCAGCTGAAGTTGAGAGATCACGTTGATGAGGCTTGATGAGTAGAGCTTCTGACACCATAGCAGACACAAACTTTATTAAACTCCCGAGTCCTCAGACTCTATGATCTTGCTGTTCACTCTTACACAATGTTCCATGGGCCATGGTTGTGGGAAGTGTTTGTACATGTATTCACTGGGACCAAGCTCTATAACTCTGCATTTTGATTGGTTGTGATTTTATGTAGTAGTATCCATCTGTTGGAGAAATTTCCCTGATGAGAGATGAAGACTACACTTATCTGTGGGCATAAGAACAAATGTTTATAGACTGTTGCTAGGAATTATGCTGGTTTAGTCAAGTAGATCCTCCTCCAATAATGACTTCACTATCTCTGAGGAGTTAGATAGGTTTCCAGTACCAGGCATGGTTTCTTTCTTTCTGATCAGGTCTTAAGTCCAATTACAGAGCTATTGGTTTTCCTTAAGATATGTGTGCCATTACTGCAATGCACTCTTAGGGTTACTGTGCCATGCTGGTCATTGATGTGGGTCATAGGTGTCATAGC